CCGCCTTCGGAGCGCCCGTCCCCACTCTGCTCTAAGCCTGTCGCCATCCACGCTGACGTGATCTGGCTGGAATGATGAGTTGACGCTAGGCGCTTCCCTTCCGCGCCAGATCAGCCACCTCCTCCTGCTCCTCCAGAGGGGCAGGGGAGGGGATTTAGTCCGGTGTATACCTGGCTGAAAGCACAAACACTTATGCTACCACTCAAAGAGAGCAGCTTCAACAACATAGCCCTTCCTCTTCCTCAAAAGTAGTGCTGCCTCTCTAACTAAAAAAGAAAGAATTCCCCCTCCAAGACAAGAAGATGAATTCACAGCAGGGAATGAGAACTCAGACCCAGGAGGCTGCCCCAGGTGACCGCTGGTGGATGCTGGCCCCTTGCCGCTGGGGAGAACATCCGGGAAGCGGGGGCAGGATCCGAGCGGGGCCGCCTGGCTCAGCACCGCCTCCCCCGGCCGCAGGGACAGGCGGGGGTTTCTACACCACAGGGCTGTCACCCAAACTGACCGGCCGGCTCCGAGCGGGCATGGAAAGGCCCCCTCGCTGATGCGCAGAAGGGGACAATAACCAGAGTCACTCAGTTCAAAGCGCTGTTCTCCTGTCGCCGCGGCTGGAAGTGCAGGTGAGGAAGGGAGCAGGAAGAAGCCATTTCACAGTAACGCTCTGCCCTCCCTGCTACGTGCTGGGAGGTGGTCAAGGAGAGGAGTTGGCGCTTTTCAGCACACAGGCAGAACAGTCGACGCCAGCCGGGGCTGGAGAGCCTGGAGCAACATCAGCACGAGTCTATGCCCGTGGGCACAGTTAGATGCTCTCCATCTACACGCAGAGCCGCAACAGAGAAGCGAGCCCACCCACCCGTTTCTGGCTAGCACGTAACAAGAGCGTGTGCATCGCCGCCGACACTGACTCATCCGTCTCCCCGCCCCTCCTCCAGTGAGGTGGTACGGAGAAGATGTCCCTACACCCAGGTGGAAGGACCCCTGTGTCCAGCGCTGGGGGTGGTGGTGGGGTGCAGGGAATCAGGAGCATCGTGACCTATGTTTGCACCAGTCCCGGGCTGGGGCAGGGGAAGGGAGAGCACAAACCAAAAAAAAAAAAAAAAAAATCCCAAGACTCATTTAAGGAGTAAAAAAGTGAGTAGGAAAAAAGCACAGGGACTGAGTTAAAAAACAAGTCAGTGCTTCAGGAGCGTTGCCAGCACAGCGCAACAACACTGGGCTCTCTCTTTTCCCAAGAAGCTATATTTATAAGATTTGAATATTTTCTGTATATTTCTATTTTTCTTTTCTCTCCCTCCTTGTTGTTTGTTTTGTTCTTGTTTCCCCACCCCCACCCCCCCTCCCCACCCCAAAATACTCTCCTTCCTTGTGTTCAGTTGGCCAGGACGACAGGCTGGAACGAACGGCGGGGGGACATCCTACGGACCTCGC